GCTGTGGACAGTTAGTCCTTTGGACTAATCTTTTCCTTGTATCCTGTTCTCTTCATTCTCCCTTGCTCCTGAAGGGATGAGACCAGTGGAGTATCTTAGACGGCCGCTCTCAGGCAATACACAGCAAATTTTAAGTAACATATTAATACATAGAAACTGATTTTTGGATAGAAAATAATAAATCATTATATTATTTAAGATAGTTTCCAGGGTGTCTTTTGCATCAACCACGTGATACAATTTATTTTCATAAGCAAATTTTGTTTATTTTAGTTAAAAAACTCCTGTAGTGATGGGTAGGTGAATAGATACGAGTTTCTTTGTACTTTAGGATGAAGGAATCCTGGAAGCATCAGATAAAATAAAAGCTCGTGTTCCTATTGAAGGAAAATTAATGTTGGAATTAAAAATTCAATTGTGTAATAGTTATAAATGAAGAATCTTAATTAGCTATTAAGCCTTGTGCATAATAAAACTGACATTATATTCTTATAAATTATGCAGGTGAAATACAAAGAAGAGATTAAACATGCAACAGCCATTTCGGATCCTCCAGAGCTAAAGAGAGTTAAAGAAAACCAGAAAAACATCAGCAAAGTGCGATCATATTACTTTAAGTATTTTCTTATTTTATTTTACTGGTTGACAAATATAATGAGGGAATGATATCTTTATAGGTAAAATCCCATCACAGTGAATACAATTACAAGAGAGTCATTCTTTAAAGGGAGTGATAACATTTCACACACTTTTATGTCCTCCATTACACCTAGCCTGAAGCCTCATATGCACTGATTTACTTAATGAACATTTTACTGAATGCTTACTCTGTCCTAGTTCTTGGAATTCAAAGATGAGTGAGATACACCCTACAGTTAGAGGCTGTGGGTATCTCAGTGCTTCTAGGAGAAACACATAGTAATAAATAACTATTATACGTTGTTTTAAGTGCTATAACAATAATTAATATCTATTGAGTGTTTACTGTGCTTTTTAAGTACATTGCATGCAATATCTCATTTAATAATAAGTAAGAACACCTACCCTAAAGTGCTGTGGAAATGCAGAGAAGGACGACAGTGTCAGTGGGAGAGAGGAAAGAGAAAGAGTAACATCTGAGTTAGAGCTTGAAGAGTTACTCAGGTTTATGGTAGATTAGATGAAGAAGGGCACTCCTGAGAGCAGACCGAATGTATTCAGGATCTAAGGCCTTTCAAGAAAGGGGAGTTTAGTGTGATGAGTGTTGTTGTTGTTGTTAGTTGTTGTTGAGTCGGTTCCAACTCATGGTGGCCCCATGTGTGCAGAGTAGAACTGCTCCACAGGGTTTCCAAGGCTTTCAGAAGCAGATCAGCAGGCCTGTCTTCTGAGGCATCTCTGGGTGGGTTTGAACTGCCAACCTTTCGGCTAGTAGTCGAGTGTTTGGTGAAAAGTGGCAGGAGATGATGATAGGAGCTAGTTGTGATACATGTTATAAGGAGGCAGTCTGGACGCAAATATACCAGTAATCATGAAGGTGGTGCAGGACGGGGCAATGTTTTGTTCTGTTATACTTAAGATCGCCATGAGTCATAACTGACTTGATGGCAACTAACAAAAACAACAAGAACAACAAGGACCGTACAGGACAAAGTAGAACTGCCCCATAGGGTTTCCAAGGAGCTACTGGTGGATTTGAACTGCTGGCCTTTTGGTTAGCAGCTGTAGCTGTTAACCACTACACCACCAGGGCTCCATGGAGTCCCACAGTATCCCCCAAAGTGGTTCTTATACCTTTATGGTATTCAAGATGTTAGATTAAGTGATTAAATTGCTTTCAGGTGTGCCTTTTTTTAAAAGAAGAGTTACTGGTTTTCAGGTTATGGGAAAAACATAAGAATCCTTTAAAATAACTTTCTTTGAAAATAATAGTGAATTAATTTAATGAAAAAATACTACTATGAGTAACAGCACTGGGTATGACATATAGAAAGTGGTATGCAAATAGCAGAAATTTGGGAAACACTGAAGTAATGGGCAAGAACATGGACCTTGACGGCTAACTGTTGATTTGATTCCAGCTCCAGATCCTACTTTCTGTGTATCTTTGGTCAACCACAAACTACTCCAAGCTTCAGTTACCTCATCTATAGAACAGAGATTAGAGTATTAAATGAGATATTGTATACAAAGCACTCAGCATGTTTATGAATGGATGAAGGCAAAACATGAAGTGTCTACGTATTAAATTTAAGTCCACAAACTTACATCCACTAGACATTGGCTACAATAGTTTTTTACATCAGTAATGCTGTTCAACAGCTCTTTCTTCTCTCATCTCTATCAAGAGTTATCTTTTTTGTACCTTGGCATCAATAGAGATTGCATTGAAACCTTCCTCACTTTAACTCTGTCATTCCAGTCTCACAAGAATCTGTCTAAACTCTCAAACTACATACCACAACACAAAGTCACACACCAAGGAAAGAGGTCACACCGGAATATGCCCTGGCCCTTTTCCATTTATTTTCCAGGTTTAGCAAAGTTCACACCCGTATTCACTGCTGTGAGTGTGTATCTCAAGTCCATTTTATCTGCAGGCCCCATAGGCCTTGTGATTTCTTGCAAAAAAAAAAAAAAAAAAAAAAAACCCTAATGCTAAATTTAAGCTCCCTGTGGAGTTTCTTATAATGGGGATTTTAACCTCTAGCACTACTTTTACCTGCCAAAAATTCACTCCACTGACATGCCATTCTGCTTCTCTGTGTTAAATGTTCATTTATTTCCTGGGGTATTATGGATTTGCTGTGAAAGCACACCACAAATGATAGAGTTCCATCTACCCAGCTAAGAATGAACACCTCTCTGCAGTAGGTCAGGAATATTTCCATAATGCTGGATCACAAGGTAGGGCTTCCAGTGTTGCAACTTTGTAGAGGAGGGAACTTTGAGGTTCAGGGTTTCTTTGTATAGTGACCATCTGTACCTAAGGTGCAGGCATTAGATTTGTGTGACCCTCTTTTACAATAATAAGAGAGTGTGGAATTATTATTTTTAAATATAAAATAGTAAATTTGACGAATGTTGCTTTAGTGCTATGAAGAAATGAATTCACAGAAGGGAGAATTTATTACTGATTAGATCAAACCAAGGGGGGCCACCAATAAATAATACAATTGGAAGACTATCAACTAAAGGTGTCATTTAAAACATCTGGAAAAGAAAAAGCTTAGAAGCTGGGCACATTAAGATGATGCAGTATATTAGCAAAATATATTTTTTAAGTATGTAAGCCTAATGAAAATTTTATATAATGAATGCTCTGTAGCCAGGTGATATTTCTTTCAATTTGTTCTGGTGAATTGTACACATTTATTTCTCTTAGCCCCAAACTCTCTTGTACCTTGTCTCCTAGCTTCAGTATAAAGAGCAGCACTACAAGGCAACTCCAGTAAGTATGACACCAGAAATAGAGAGGGTGCGGAAGAACCAGGAGCAGCTGAGCACGGCAAGTTGTTTCTGTTTTCCCTTGTACTATCAGACATTGTGTGTATTTATTCTTAAAAATGCTCTCTCAAAAGCTTTAAACCCTCTGTATGTTTGGATACTCCATTTCATGTTCACATATCAGAAGACATGAACTGTGGCCCTTTCACGTGAACCTGGGAATTTGGGACTGTGTTGCTATAATTAGTCATGTTTTTTTAGTCAGAAAATCTTCTTAAACATCCTCCCTGTGCCAGGCATTGTTCTGGGCACTGGTACACAGAGATGGATATGACACAATTCCTGCCTTCAGGGACCTCATAGTTTAATTGGTGAATCTGTGCAGGTACATCCAGGGAAGGCTCTGAGGATTAGTGGGTCTTTTGTCAATCTGACAAGAGACTTGTCCAATCAAAGAAAAATTTGTATGTTGGACTAGGACAAGAGAAGAGCTGGTATGACTTGAGTCATACCAGACACAGTGTCAGGGCAGGGAACTTTATAAATAAAATGGAAAGCATTATTCAGTTCTCCTATAATATATTGCTACTAAAAGCAATAACCGTTAACAATTATGAGGCACCTACACTGTGTGCAAGGAGTCCCTGAGTGGGCAGACAGTTAATGTGCTTGCCTATTACCAAGAGGTTGAAAGTTCGAGTCTATCCAGAGGTACTTTGGTGATCTACTTCTGAAAAATCAGCCATTGAAAACCCTATGGAGCACAGTTCTACTGTGACACATACGGGGTCACCATGAGTCAGAATTGGTTATATTGTGTGCTAGATCTTGGGGTAAATGCTTTATGTGAACCCATGAGTCAGCGTTGTTCATTTCTCAGCTTTGTAGATGTGGAAAATAAGACTTAGGGAGGTCATGGGACATGCCTAGGGACCACGGCTGGTAAGAGTAGAGCCGGGATTTGAACCTAGCCCTCCTGAAATCCAGGAATCCTTTGCAAAAGTGCCTTCAGATAGTTATTTCTTCTGTTTTGTGACCCTTTTATGGAACTTTTATCAATATAAACAATAACCTCTTCTTCTAAATCTAGTAATTTTGAAAGACTTCACAATTTAAGAGCGAGGTTTCTCAGGTGGAGGAGAAATTCAGGCTCAATATTGTTTTGTCCTCATAATATCTCTGGAAGGTGGTAGGAATTGGGAATCTTTAGCTTCTTTTGAAAGGTGGAAGCTCCAGGATCAGAAAGAGAATAAATGACCTTCTGAGGAGGCCACAATGACTTCACGATTGTTCTCTTTAATGACTTCACTCTGGAGTTTCTTTTATAATTTGCTTCCTTGTATTTCCATTACTTTTATTTGAGGACTTTGCAGTTGGTTTTTATATTGAACACTAAAGTATTTATTGAAAACTCATTTTTAAGAAGCACAACCAACGCTTTGTGGTTGCTGAGTTGAATGAGTTAGAATCAGCTGTAGATACTTTGGAACAGTGTGCCCACCTTCAGGAGGTTGATCCATACCTACTGTGAAACAAATGTGTCAAAGATATGGTTAATTTTGAGGTTCATCCTTTGTGATACGTAGGTGGGATTCATTCTACTCTCTATTAAAATTCTTATTTATCCTCCGTAGGTAAAATACAAAGGAGAGATTAAACAGGCAACTGCCATTTCTGACCCACCAGAGCTGAAGAGAGTTAAAGAAAACCAGAAGAATATCAGCAATGTGTGATCTTCTCAGTAACTTTTTTCTTATGATATCAAATATATTGTCAACATGAATTTACAACATTTTCATAACTTTGTGTTGATATTCTGCTGTCAGTTAACTAACAGTTTATTTGAAAGGCTCGGGATCTTAGGTATTGTGCATATAGTCAGGCGTTCCCCACTTTAGAGTTTCCACTTGAATGCACGTATGATTTCTTTCTAGAAGTTATTGTGTATCCCTCTTCAAGGAGCCCTGGTGGTGCAGTGGTTAAGAGCTTGGCTGCTAACCAGAAGGTCGGCAGTTCAAATTCACCAGCCGCTCCTTGGAAACCCTATGGGGCAGTTCTACTCTCTCCTATAGGGTGGCTGTGAGTCGCAGTCAACCTGATGGCAGCGGGTTTGGTTTGTTTTTTTGTTGTCTTCATGGGTGTAGTTGCTGTGGTTCCCCAAAGGGAGGCAGCAGTGGCATCTGGCATCTTGGCCTTGCAAATAAGCTTTTCCAGTCTCTTTCTACCTATATGTGTTCTTGTTCTCTAGCCTCTCCCCACCCCACCTCCGTAATCCCAGCTATTATTGCTATATTTTTGGATGATGTCCAAGGATAAATTACAAAGTGTGCATGACTGAGTAAATCATAAGGGACAAGCCCATTTTAGGAGTACTTGATAAGGGACTGGCAGTTTTTACTTAGCCACCAACTCCTGGCCTGCTCTAACTTCCCTCTGTTTATGTAATCCATGGATGTAGTTCACTGTGAGAATCGTTTTCGAAGTCATTAGCATATAGATTGGCTTCTTCGGAAGAGGAAATTTGGAAATCTTTTAAGTTGAAAGAAATCTTTTATTGGTCAGACCTTTAAAGTCATTTGACCAGATTATGAAGCAAAAGCAGTTTATTGTTTGGTGCTTTTCCTAACAACTATATTTTGGAGACGTAGATGCTCATCTTTTCCCGATATATTTAGCGTCACACTTGACATGACTCTTTTATGCATAAAAAAGGACATGGTGATTGCAGAGAAGGAATCAGGTATTGGGAAGCATGCTGGCCTTTTTTTGCATGTCTGTGATAACCTATTTAAATGCATCTTTAACAAATTTCTGCCATATTTAATTACCAAGAAACCACTATAGAACTGTAACATTCTATATGAGCAGGAGTACCTCTAAGTAATATCCAGGAAGAAATTTCCTATCAAAATTCTTTCTAAGTATGGCCGTTTGTGATTTAATGCTTATTATAGCTTTATTAGGAATCCCTGGGTGGCACAAATCGTTAAGCACTCGGCTACTTACTGAAAGATTGGTGGTTGGAATCTACCCAGAGGATGCCTCGATAGGAAGGCTTGGCAGTCTACTTCCAAAAATTCATAGCCATTGAAAAACCTATGTGCATTTCTATTCTAAAACACATGGGGTAGCCATGAGTCAGAATTGACTCAATGGCAACTGGAAAATAAATAGCTTTATTGATAGTGTATTCATATATTTTAGTACATTCACAGTAATTTGGATACATACACATTTCTATTGAATAAATTTACATAGGTTGATTCTTTTCTTTAAATTTTTTTTTATTGTACTTTAGATGAACGTTTGCAGAAGAAATAGTTTCTCATTAAACAGTCAGTACACATATTGTTTTATGACATTGGTTAACAACCCCACGACATGTCAACCCTGACCCTTCTCACTCTTTTTTTTTTGGTGAAAATATACATAGCCAAAGATACACCATTTCAAAAATTTCTACATGTACAATTCAGTGACATTGATTACATTCTTCCAGTTGTGCTGCTATTCTCACGGTCCTTTTCTAAATTATTCCATCACCATTATCTTCAACTCACTGGCCCCTAGGCTTCCCATCCCTAGGTTGATTTTTAAGATGCAAACATTCTTAAGTATGACTAGAGCTCAGATAGTATCTCCCTCCTCCCCTCACCCCCTGTTTACCTTCCTTGGTTAACCCTTTAAAACAAATACTATGAGACTCTTATTTTGTTGAATTGATACATAGTGCTCTATCTTTTGTTCTCTAAAATGATAGGTTTATTATAAAGGTCAGCTGGGCAGAGCCACTGCTTTAAGTATAACTCCTGAAATGGAAAGAGTAAAGAAGAATCAAGAAAATATTAGCTCGGCAAGTGGTTTTATCTATCTTTTTTTTTTTTTTTTTTAAGCTTTAGAAGCCTAAGAATAAAAGCTGAAAATTTTGGACTATCAAAAATGTTGTGTCCTTTATTATTTTATTGTAGAACAAGGAGTCTCTGAGTGGTGCAGGTGGTTAATGTGCTTGGTTATAAACTGAAAGATTGGAGGTTAGGGGTCCAACCAGGTGTGCTTCGGAAGTAAGGCCTCCTGATCTACTTCCAAAAAAATCAGTCATTGAAAACTCTCTGACACACGTGAAGTCACCCTGAGTCAGAAGTGACTTGATGGCAACTGATTTTTTTAATTCTAGAGCAAAATCTAATTTACCAAACAAGTTAGCCAGGAAATAATTTAAAGTGTGTTGCATATGTTCCATAACACCCCCCCAACCAGTAATCTTGAAAAAGTTGTGTAATGTTTTATATTATAATTGTCTTGTTATAAATATGTTCTCCTATTTACTTTGCAGGTAAAATATACCCAGGACCATAAACAGATGAAAGGTAGACCAAGTCTGCTTTTAGATACACCTGGTCTGAGGCATGTTAGAGAAGCACAAAACCATATTTCAATGGTAGGGTACAACCAGATCATTCTTCTCATGACTAAAACATACTAAGAAACAGCACGACCAGTGTTCCACAGCATTAGCTCACTATTAATCTGGATGACTAACAAAGCGTGGAGATGCGATGGGCCAGTCCTTTTGGTGGGACTCTCTGATCACACTGAAACGTATGAAAGTATTGAGTCTAATAAAATCATTTTTCTCACTGATTTTTTTGTGTGTGTTTTTATTTCTAACATGACTACTATGAATGCATTTTGTGAAAGACATTTGCCTGGACTTCTTCCCAGTTAATTTTAAGATGGAGTTTGGTGTGTTTGCATGTTGCAAAGAATATGCAAAATGTATTTTTAATAGCTTTATTGAGATATGATTTTCCTGCCGTAAAGTTCATCTATGTGAAATATATAATTCATTGGTTTCTAGTATACTTATAGAGTTGAGCAACCATCACCCTAAGCCAATTTCAGAACATGAAAAATATATATTTTGGAGTATATTTAATTGATTATATGTGACTCTCAATATAATTTTTAAGTAACACTTTTCTTGAAATAATTGTAGTTTATCATTTTATTGCATATTAAAAGTTAAGAGATAGGAAATTGATTTAAAATTAATGTATTATATTTTTGGAAGTAACTGGGATTAAAAAATTGTACCTTTTAAAACTTCTGACTGATGTACAGGTTTATACATATTTAAAAGAGACTCTTAGAAACTGTAAAAAATTACCATAATGATTAAGAATGTTGTGAAAATACCAGCATTTGATTTCTGATGCAAGGAAGGAAGCTGAAGTTTCTGACATTATGTTTGGAATAATTGGAAACGATGTATATAATCTCCATGCAGCTAGTGGAATGCCACCTTTCACTTCTGAATGTGAAATATTATGGAGTTGGGCGACTGTCTCCCTAATCCTATTTCAGAACATGAAAACAATTAGGAAATTTCAGTTTGAGTTAATACTGTTCTTCCTTTTCCAGGTAAAGTATCATGAAGATTTTGAAAAGACAAAAGGAAGGGGCTTTACTCCTGTTGTGGATGACCCTGTGACTGAGCGAGTGCGAAAGAACACCCAGGTTGTCAGTGATGCTGCCTACAAGGGCGTCCACCCTCACATCGTGGAGATGGATAGGAGACCTGGCATTATCGTTGGTAAGCTGACCATCCTCGTGGCACCTATGCATCATCAGGAAGGTTATGCTTGCCCTTGCTTTAGAATTAGCATCCTTATTCATTTGACTCCTCATCAATGCTTGACAAGATGCCTCATTTAAAATAGACCACAGTTACTGTGCTGTTGTTTGTAATAGATTGAATGGGATTCATAGCATTCAGCAGGCATCGTTGCAAATCCTTTCTATTATTGTACATTCTCTGTCTTTCATAGTTTCCTGGTCTCATGGACGTTCTCACTTGTTAAACAAACGAGCCAGCCTACATATCAGACACGGGTGCTAACAATGGTTGAACGATTATTTTGTTTTCCTTTAGCTCCTGTACTTGATCAGTGTGCTTGTACTGCAGAAATTGTGTGCATGAGTAACAGAAATAACCATGTTATGTTTAGTTCCTTTTACCGCAAATAGACTTGCCAGCGGGATTCTGCTGATACTCCGCAATATGAGTAGCTTATATTTTCTTGAGTATTATTTCTGGACTGAAATAATTGAGAGCTGTTTGAACATCCCATAACTTAGAGAGCAGCCTTCCATTCCTGCTATCTCTAAGTTCCTTATAGTCAGTTGTTGGAAATCTTAGGAGGATAGTGTTGAATGGTGGCCGGGCTATCAGCAAGGATCATAATGAATGTTAAAAGAAGCTTAAGGTAGGGCTAGAAAGGAAAGTTATTGATTTTTCAATATATAATCAATAATTCATACTTCCAAATGACTGTTGTCTTCCTCAGAGCAGTTAACCACTAAAATTTTGTAGCTAGTTCAGTTAAAGAATATTTTTGGTAACTGTGGTATATACCTCTCAATTATCTCAATGCTAGCTTATGTTCATCTTCAAAGATAAGAACTTCATTTTTGGACACAGTGAGAGGTCATTTAGAGGTGAGTTGAGTGAGGAGAGTATGGGTTTGACAGGGTAATATCTTAGTACAAAATAAGTGTACTTACGTCAGTGCACTAAGTTACTTGAGTGATTCCTTAAGTTACTTGAGTGATTCCTAAAGTGACTCCAAAAGTATTCCAACGAGGGATTCCAAACATATTTGTAGGCAATTGGTAGCTTTGCTAATCTTCCCAAGGTGATTTGTTTAAAAGGATCACATTAAGTTAGATGGATGAATTGTGACGTTTTCACTGAAAGTAACACAAACTTAGAGTTTCATTGCTTTGCCTTGTGAGTGATAGCATAGGGGGTCCCACTAGGGTGGAACTGCTAAAGTCTGCACAGCTTACCCCAGGCTCGTACTCTAAACTAGGCAGCAGGAGTGACAGTGAGATCCTGGCTAAGCACCGTGAGATTGTCTAGATTTTGGGCTTCAGAATTCAGTGCTTACAATCTTTTGAGATAGATTAAATATATATATATATATAAGATGTATAATAAATTATTCACTTACTAGGAAATCCTAAAGTCGGATTATTTCTTCTTATTGGGGGAAAGTGTTTTCCACTGAGGACTTGCCTATGAAACAACAAAATGTAGTACATTCAACAAACATTAAACCCTCCAGTGAGCCAGGTCCTGTACCAGGCATGGAAATGCAGGTTTAGAGATTTTTATGAGTAATTCAGACTAAGCCAATTTGTACTGTATATACTTTTTTTGGAGGCTCTGCCATTTATTAGTTGTGAGCCCTGGTGGCATAGTGATTAAGAAACTTGGCTGCTGACCAAAAGGTTGGCAGTTCAAATCCACCAGCCACTCCCTGGAAACCCTATGGGGCAGTTCTACTCTGTCCTGTAGGGTCACTATGAGTCAGAATCTACTCAATGGGAATGGTTTTTTTTTTTTTTAACTTTGGCCAAGTTACTTAATAATCATTGTGTGCCTCTGTTTCATCTCTGCAATAGGGATAATAATAGTGCCTATTTTTAATATATTATGAAGTTTAAATGAGTTATGTTATAACTTCAAACAACGCCTGGTATGCGGTAAGCTCTTTATACTATTAATTATAAACAGACAAACAAATGTCTAGTTTCAGTTTACTAATTTATTGGTTTTACTCCTGCTCAGTTTCTGCCACATTCTATCATTAGGTTCTTATTTTCCAGTTGTTGGAACACCATCACACCAATCATTTTAGGATCTGATAACCATTAGTTGGAGACACTAGTAAACTCAGCAGCTGTTAGATTTGGATTTTGCCTCCAACTACAATAGGAGAAGAATAAACTGGTTTGCACAGTCTGATCATTGACGATAGCAGTGAACTAACCTGTGCTCCATTGAGTGCCCAGTACCTTGCTCATAGCGCTCTTCCAATAAGTGTATCTTATATGGATTACTTGCACTCACAGATGTATTACACTCAGAATGGAAACTGGGTTTGCCCCTTGCCTACATTTCAAACATTTGTTTCTGTTATAGGACAGAAGTTTTGTTTTGTTTTCTCAGACAGAAACTCCTCAGTCATTCTATGACTTACTCAAACGCTCTTAATCATGTATTTTAGTCAGACATTTACCCGTCTCAGTGAGTGGAGAATAAGAGTGATTTGGGACACAGAGTCGCCCCAAGTGCCCGTGTGCTGTGTGGTGGGGTCACAGGTATTCCAGAAAGGCTGTAAAAGGTCAGTAAACCAGGCAGCTGAAATTTAATTATGAAGTTTTCTTAACAAATACTTGTGAAAGTGAACATCCTTTTTAGTTCTCCTCTGAAGTCTGCAAAACAGGGCTTGCTTATTATATGTTTGCGTTTTACGTACATCCCTTTCTAGACTTTTGCTTGACTCTCTTTGGTGCTGACCTTCTTAAAAAATTTGTTCTTGATTTGTTGATTTCTTTCTTTTGGTAAAAGACCTCAAAGTTTGGCGCACAGATCCTGGCTCTGTCTTCGACCTTGATCCCCTGGAAGATAATATTCAGTCTAGAAGTCTGCATATGCTCTCTGGTATTCCTTACATTTTGAATTTCTCCCATCTACATGGTTTTGTCCTGAAAGGGAAGCTACTGTGGACTGTAGAAGTTTATGGTGCCAGCTGCATAACAGAAATTTTAAACTTGAGAAACTGAGAAACCAAAAAGTGTTATGCTACTTCAAAGTGCCATTAATCATTTATGAAAATAAAATGCCCAAAGGGACTTTTTAATATATTCTAGATTAGTTTGTCCTAGATTAATTTATAAAGGTGTCTAGAGCTTACTCATAACTGCTTTTTATTAGTGAATATGATTTTATAGAGTTTCTGGGTTTACAAATGCAGTTATTTTGATTGTACAAAGTTGCTGAGACATAAAAGAGATTGTTTCATGAAATGCACTGCTACATTTTCAAGGTAGATTTAAAGAATTACATATAGATTAGTAGAGAGGCTTTCTGTATAGCATCATGAATGTCTTTAAATAGACTTTCAAGTATTCTAAATATTTATCAATGAGTTTTATATAATGTAAAAGAAATAGTTTAAATAGGAAGTTTATTTGACTTTCCATTTAGACTGAATGTTTATAATTAAAGGCAAAAAACGAATGGCTTGGATATTTAAGTATAATGATAGCATGATTTGACGTTTCAGACTTGCAGACCAGGTTTAGCAAACTAAAGCTTTGACAGTTGTGTAATTATTTTAAGCAATCTAACTAGATACATCATTTCATTCAGGTGTTGCTCCACCCCTGATTTCTACTCTAGATTTAATTGTTGACATTAATCAAATTGAAAGCCCAAGGCAAAGTAAGGATGCTAATTCTTTTCTAGTCAATTTGATCCACATACTCAGCCAAACTGCCTCATTTAGTTTTCTAAAAATAAAGCAACAAATGCTGTATACCTGGTGATATTATACTTTAAAGCAATTATTTATAAACCAGACTTTTGTTTGATAGAAATTTATTAGTTTGCCAGTGTTTTCTTAGTTCTTAGGAAAAATTGTCAATTGCCTGTTCCTCATTCTCCTTTAAAATCTATATTAAAAAATGAGTATGAGTGATCTTTAAGCCATTTATGTAGCTGATACAATTTAGCTGAAGTTTGGGAGTAGGTGACTAGAATCTGAAAATAGCTGAGGTTTTGGGTGATCCTAATAAGGGATTGTTTTTCTTCGCCATTAAGCCTTTAAATAATTTTTCTTTCTGTTCCTCAGTCGTTTTATTACAAATATGAATATTTTCCCTCTGATCTAGAAAAGGCAAGTCACTATAGGCGACACCGGTCTCGCTCTTATTCCGGCAGTACTTTTGGTGCAGGTCTGGGAGATGACAAGTCGGAAATATCCGAGATCTACCCTAGCTTTTCATGCTGCAGTGAGGTAACAAGACCGTCTGATGAAGGAGGTATCAAACGTTAACCAGTTTCTAAGAAAATTGATTGATTTTCACATGTGACACAGGAATGTCTCTAACACATTCTTCACCTTTGCATCAACATTTGGTTTGGATGTATTTGAATATTTTAAATTAAGTTTAAAAACTTACGAGTCTTCGTTTTTTAAATTACTAATTTGTATTTGTGCATGCTTTTATCGCAGTCTTACTTTACTACTATTACTGCAAATAGATGTTTAATAACAAAGGGCCTTGAGGTTTGCTTCATGAGTGGGTTTCACGAGAGTTGTATGAAATGGATATACACAGCTGTAGTGAACACTTGGGTACTGTGTGTAGTTTATATCTGATTTCTATTAAGGTAAATCAGTCTTACCATAATATTTGTGGTAGATAAGAGGTTGATATGAATTTGTGTGTGTTTAAATATTAATATACATTTGGAGCCAGAGTTAGCTCTTGCCAAAAGTAAATGGAGTCTAATACTTGGGATATATTTTTTTTTAATGGAAAATACTGTTGATTGTTAACAATCTTCTCTATATTTTATATATCTACCCTTCTCCTCCTCTTCCTCCTGTTTTCTGCATCCAGGATGGTGGATTAGGTCAAGAACTTTTGGAGAAATTTTTTCAAATGTTAGACTAATCCTGCTGATAAAGCTGTTACTAACTGCTAAGGCCTGAGGTGTTTCTCCATCCACCGCAGTTACATTTTAATGCAGCAGGGAGGGAAGAGAGAGGCCTGAAGCACGGAAGAACAAAAGGAATACTGAATTTTCTTTTCAACAGCAAAAGTCATATTGCTGAAATTCCTAAGGCAGGAAATTCTGAGGTTGAAGAGTTAACACCTCAAATAAAAAAAAAAGTAATATGATTGAGGATATGAGTGAACCTGTGAAAGCTTGTGTGATTGTTTATTTTTCATTCATTAAAATGAAACACTAATGAGAATATAATCAATTACATTTTATACATCTTAAATTATAAATTCCGACTGGCCTTAGCTTGGCAGAAAGCTTATGAAATTCTTGTAAACTAATTTTGCTTGATTGCAGATAAAATACACAGGAGGAGACCACCCCCCCACCTCCCACCCCGGCTGTGTCTTAGTCTCTAACAAAGAGTTCAGTGACCTCATTTTTTTTTTTTTAATTCAAGGTTATTGATTTCTCCCTTTAGTGGCCGCGTTGATTCTAGAGGTACAGAATAATGTTGATGTTTGATGAGTTAAATAAAACCCATAGCAAATACAAGGACATTTGATCAACTGTATTTACCTTCACTCAGTTCAGGGTACTGGAGTTGACTCTCTCAACTCCACCTGCTCCCTCCCAAATGCAGTGTACTATAGAAACTTTGCTCCAGCAATGACCCTTTTACTTCACATCAATGCCACATTCATTCACTTATTCACCAAATGTCTATTGAGTGCTCTTTGTGTACTAGGCATGAGCTTGGGTCTGGACAATGTAGACAGCAGCAAGCGAAAGAGACACTTGTCCTCTGTAAGGGGCTTAGAGTCTGGTGGAGACGCTGGCATTAAACATACTTGCACAAGTAATATATAATTATGAACAAAGTAAGTGCTATGTGGACAGAGAATGGGAGCTACAAGATGTGTAAGTGGGGAATTGCATCCGGTATTGATGACAGGGAAGGCTTCCCCAAGGAAGAGACTTTTCAAGCTGAGATGTGAATACTAAATGGAAACTAACTAGGCCAAGGGGACTTTGGAGAAAAATGTTCCTAATAGAAGAGAGACACTGGAATGGTATGTCATTGAGACGTTTAAATGGAAGTATCAAATAGGCAGAGTTCAGGGGAGAAGGCTGTGCTGGAGATAAGTTGGAAGTCATCAGCATGTTGATGATAAGGTCTTGGATGATATGTGTAGAGGAGGACAATGGTGCACTCCCTTTGCACCAGCAAACAAGGTCCAGGTTCACTTTTCTCAGATTCCATTCTCTCCTCCAAGGCTGCGTTATAAAAACGCACTTCTGGTAGTTTATCCCGTTTCTCTTCTCAGGCCACAGCTCCTTCTGTTTTCTAGTTATTTCTAGCAAGAGGACCCTATACTGTGCCAAACTGAATGAGAAAATGTCTCCAATGAGATGGCATATATAATATCTTTGCATTGATACTAGAATTTGAGTAACACTGATTAAGAAGGAATGATTATATTTTTTAAAATGGAGGAACTTCAGATTCCACAGAAGATGGCAGGGAGAGATTTTTGGCAGAAAAGGATGTCTTAATGTCTCAAATAATGCCTTATAAGAAAAAGCTGACTCTTTGGGGCATTTATTAACCTCTTTCACTCACAGTCACTGCTACTTGTCAAGGTGCTCTGTCTTTAGTGACATTTGTTATTTAAAAAAACAGATACTGAGGTATGAAGCAAAAATGGTTAAAGATGTACCAAGAAGTTTTGTAACACAATCAGTGGTATGCCGAAAAGATATCTGATGTTAATTTGAGAAGATTTTAAGATACATGGGAATGTGCTCCTCATTTCATTTATTTTAAGTGAAACAGAGCACATTCTACCAATGGTCACCTTATGTCTATATTCAAATAATTAGTGACATGTCAAACCTAGTATATTTAACACCACCCCCGACTCCCACTCCCCACCTCCCGAGAAAAAATCGTGCTCCTTTCCCAGGCTTCCCATCTCACTAAGTATGACTGCAGCTTTCCAGTTCCTGACATCAAAACCTTTGGAGTCACCCTCGACTCTTGTCTTTTTACTCACACCCCACGTCGAAGCTCTACCATGAAAAATATATCCAGAATCAGACTGCTCTTCCCCATCTCCACTGCTACCTCCCTCCCATCAGATGCTGCCATCTCTCACTTGCATTATCACAGTAGCCTCCAGACTCATTTCCTGCTTCTGCCCTTGCCATCCTGCCCCATCTTGACCCCCCACCCCCACTTCTCTGCCCTGACCTGTTCTCTACCTGGCAGATGAATAATTCTTTTAAATATAAGCTAGGTCATGTAGCTCTGCTGCTCACCATGCCCTTCTGGATATAACCCAGATCCTCACCATCACCTGCAAGGTCTTCATTCCACCTGGGCTCTGGCTTCCTCTCTGAACTCATTTCCTACCACTCTCAGTACACTCATCCACTCCCACCATACTGGCCAAACTATCCAAGAAAACTCCCACCTCAGAGCCTTTGCACATACTGTTGTACCTGCCTGGAAACCGTCCCCCCTGACCCATATTTGCTTCCCTAGTCTCCCCTCTTTCTTCAGGTTTCTGCTCGGATCTTGCTTTATCAGAGAGACCCCATCTAACTACCAGAGATGAAATAGCACCCCCTCCCCCTGTACTGCCTGTCCCTTTACCCTTCTTCTTTTTTTCTTTCATAATGCTTGACACCATCTGAGATATTATGTTATGTACAGGTGGTTCCTAGCTTACCATGGGATTCCACTCCAATGACTCCACTGTAAGTCGGTTCTGATGTAAGTTGGATACATTTTATTTTTATTTTTCATTATTATTGGCCTTTGTTAGCAGTGTCTTTATAAATCTGATCTGTGAACATCTGAGAATAATAACATTGACAAATTACACACTGCAACATCATATGCAGTACATATTACTAACGATAAGATGCACCAAAAAAAAAAAAAAGAGAAACCAGATGGTCGTCAGTTTCGTTCTTAGTAACTCCAATGTGTCAAGTCCAGGACAGCTGTTCTCGTTTATTTCCTTGTCTTCTCTGCCTCCGTAGAATATAAGCTCTATGAGAGCAGAGATATTGGTTATTTTATTTACTGCTGTATCTGTAGCTCTTAGAATAAGCACTCAGCAAATATTTGGTGAATGAATAAAATGGCCAAATTAATATTTCAAAAACTAGAACCATATATGTAAATATATGTAAGTGTACATATTTTTGGCCCTGGTGGCACAGTGGTTAAGAGCTATGGCTGCTGACCAAGAGGTCAGCAGTTCATATCCACCATCCGCTCCTTGGAAACCCTGTGGGGCAGTTCTACTCTGTCCTATAGGGTCACTCACTATGAGTCAGAATCAACCTGACGGCAATGGGTTTGGTTGTTTTTGTTTTGTTTTTTTATACATATTCTTTTAAAATAAAAATTTCTGTTGTGGAAGACTTGCAAGGAAACAATTATATGTTTGTTTTGATATGTTTCAATGACATTAAAGCGTAGCTGAAGAAACAACCTGAAGTGGAAACATTTCCAGTGGATTTTTTTTCTGGTGGGGATGGGAAAGAGTGGGATGCATGACTTCTTGGTTGCTTTGAAATTTAGGAGCCCCTTTGAAATGTGTGTGTCTGTGCTGGGTTCTGGTGAGGAGGTGTTGATTGACTCCATAGAAAGAGAAACCTTTTATGATGATGACAGCTGTTTGATGAAACTCTTTAGTCTCTTTAGCAGTAACAGTCAATCATATGTATTTGCTTAAATACCATTCTAGAAATTGAAAAGAATTTTATAACAATACTTGTTAGCGGTGAGATGAAGAAAAAAAAGGTTCCTAAGTATTTAGGAATGCTGTTTTTCTTTCAGATTTTGTAGATTCCTTTAAATTTAGATTAGGTTTTCCTTTGGTAAGATTTGTTATGCTACAGGAAGATAACCTGTAGTATTTGGTTGTCTTTCCACCGTAAAGGTGGTGTGTGTGGCAGCACAGTAATACTGTGAGCAGAACACTGCAGGGAGCCCTACACCCTCACTATATGGAGGGGCTCCCAGGGAGATAGGAGCCCTCGTGGCACAGTGGTTAAAGTGCTCCACTGCTAACTAAAATATCGGTGGTTCGAAACCACCAGCCGCTCCACAGGAAAAAGATGTGGCAGTCTGCTTCCGTAAAGATTTACAGTCTTGGAAAACCTACGGGGCGGTTCTACTCTGCCCTATAGGGTTGCTATGAGTCGGACTCAACTCGACAACAATGGGTTTTTGCTCAGAGAGGTCACCTAACCTTATAGGCTCAGATTTCTCACTTGGAACAAGAAGGGT